AGAGCAACAACAGTGGCACTTCTGTTAACGCTGTGTAAGGATTAGAGCGGATAGATGGAAAGTGTTTAGCTCTCCGTACACCTCACTAGCATATATATGGATTATGGACGTACATATAGGTACTCATACGTAGAACTCACATGTGGATGGCTCATATGTACACACACACACATACATATACCTCTACCATATGCATATATTAATACATACACATACACACATATACAGTGTCTAGCAAGGTGCCTGGCACTAAAATGCAAACAAAGGAAGTAGGCACCATTCTTATTAAAATGCCATCACACTTTAGGAAGGGAGGTAAGTTCTTCAATCAGTGCATAATACAAAAACGAAATCGAAATCACCCTTGGAAACACCCTGGGGAGCACCAACTGGCCAGTCCTTCCTCCAGAGCCGGAGCAGATGGCTGTGTCTTCAGCCCAGGACCAGGTGAAGGGTCTGGCTTGTGCGTGTGGGCTGGGAGGTAGGACAAAGGTCTGCCCCAAATGTAAACCACAGACGTGAGCTCAGGGCAGGGGAGGGTGCTGAAACAGGCTCAGGGAATCGCAGACCTCCAGCTCCCTTCACCTCCCGTCCTTGAAGGCCCCTGCCCGCCTGCTGGGCTCACCTGCTGGGCTCATCTGCCTGGTTCAGCTGGTCTTTACTCTTGCACTATGTTCTTGGTCAGTGTCTTATGTCTTGCTCCTTCTTTTTTTTTTCCACAAATGCCTTTTGTGGAACCTCCTTAGGTGTCTATGAATGTGTGGCAAGTAGATTAGGATGGGTGAGCTGGAAAGACCCAGACTTCCTATCCAAATGGACGTGGCTTTGAGTTGTAAGGGTCATAACCCATTCATTGGATGGTCCTCAACAAGTCACACAGCCCCCTGGTGATGCTGTCCCTCATGTGTCAACTGGATAAGGTGGCCCAGTACACAAGGATTCCCAAGGCAAGCTGCCATCGTGTGTACCCTCTGTAGCATGGAGATCCTCAGATGTCTCCTCCCCATCTGCCTTGGATCCCTTGTTCATGCTATGGAAGAAGTGATGACTAGTATGTTACTTGGGACCAGGATGCCAGTGTGAACTAGGAGATGCTGCACAGAGGGCCAAGGCAGACCAAGTCTGATCACATGCCTGGTGGTGGACCCTGGGTTGGGCACTAACCTTTCTGAGCTTAGAATGGACCTCAAGATGCCATTCTTGTAGCAATGTTGAGTATGGAGATTCACGCTCATGAAGAGCATCAGCTATAAGCCTGGTATCTGATAGCAATTTGATAGAGAGTTGCAACAGTTTTTTAGTATCACTATGCCATATTAGTACAGTGTACTGATTGCCTTGTAAGCCTAGTTAATTATACACAGAGCCATCTTTTATACATTATGATGAAAGCAGAGGCCTGGGAGAGTAACAAACTTCTAAAGGACCATGGGTGACAAACAAAAAGAATGAGGTGAAGGTATTTTCAGTAATAACACTGAGTATTGGAATTAAAAACTAAAAAAAAATTGAAAGAACCTAAGAAAGAAAAGTGATAATGTGAGATATAAAGCATTGAAATGTCTAAATAAAACAAAAATCCTGAACAGAACAAAAACAAAGAGAAAAAAACTAAAAGGCAAAGAAAACAACATTCTACACTTGCCACCAAGAGAAAATGTAAATAGTCGTGAAAATAAGTAATTTGAAATCTAAGTTGCAGAAACTTTAAATTATTGGGTACCATAAAGGAATGTGATTTTCAGGCCTGAGTCACGTGACAGGTAGCTGTAACCTACGGGGCTGAACTTTTGTTTCTCTGATTACAGATTAGCCTTCTTCCCAGCCTACACTGTTGTGTAAAATGCCGTAAATGACTAGAGGCGCCAGAAAAGACCCCTTCCCTCTGCTGTCGATCTTCCTTACAGATTAACTTCCCTCTTGTCTCACACACAGACCTCGTGGCTATCTCATCTGCCAAGACGGAAAGTTAAATATACTCTTTTAAATTGGAAAGGAAATGAAAACGAGCCATACAGAAAAGAAAACAAACCGTAACTAATTAAACTTGTAACTTACAAACTAGCCTTGTGTAGAAAATGTTGTAATCCTGTTAAATCTCTTTGTCTTGTTCTTATATAAGCAAGACCTTAACTTTTAGCTCTAGAGTGCTGACCCCATTTCTCTGCAGTCTGTGTTTCCCAGATGGCAATACCCAGGTTTTCTCTTGGATAAACTCTCAAACACTGGGTTCTGATTCTTTCAATTATTTCAGGTTGACATGGTTTTAAAAAAAGAAAAAGAAAAAAAACTACAGGAAGGAATGTGCTTAGTTCCTTCTATTAAAATGACTAGTTTGGGAAAAAAAGGAGACGGGTCTGCTGGTTCAGGATCCATAAGGGATTAGAGCTGGGCTTTAGGAAGAGGATGCTCCCTGCTGCAAGGAGAACCAATTGGAAGGAAGGGGGAACAAACAGGAAGCAGTAGGGAGCCCACTGTATGTATCTAGGCAAAAAATGGTGCTGGGCACAGCCGGAAACAGAGGAGATGGATTAGAAATAATTATGAGACAGAGCAGGGGGAGATGAGGTAGGGGCAGGGAGGGGTTATGGAGGATGTTGAGGTCCAGCCTTGAGCCGCTGGGTGGGAGTGGTGCAGTCTGCACCTGATGTCCCCATGGGCTGCCACCTCTGCATCACCTTCTCGTTCAAGACATTCATCCTGTGACTACGCTCCAAGGGTGCTGGTGAGATGGCCCTTTTCTTTCTCAGTCTGGTCTTTGAGAAGATTCCTCCACAGGGCTGCTCCCCCATCCACTGGTCATGACCCAGCACTCCAGAAAAGCAGTCTTGTCACAAGGCTTCAACCCTCTGGGTTCCCTCTGTGCAGTGTGGCCTCCAGCACAGTTCACAATACCCATTCCCTCTGCCAAACCAAACCCCAGCTTTCCCTTCACCAGCAGCTCTTCTCTGACAACAGTCACCTTCACTCTGGCGGGTTTCGCCTCTTACAGAGGATCACAAAGCAGCCGGTACTCACGGAAATGCTCCCTCTACCCCCAAGTGTGGCTACTTCCTCCCTGTGCCAGGAGCTCAATGTGCACAGGACCTGACCTCTCTCCGGCTCTCTCCTCTTCTTGCTGTAAAGTGGGAATAAACTGGGACAGCTTGGCTTATCTCTCTTGCTTCTCTCTGGGACTCTGACTTCTGCTCTGCTTTCCTAGGGGTAGGCTGCCCCCTACAAGGAACCCCCTAGTGATACTGTGATTGGGTGATGGAGTTTTGTTTAACTCTCAGGTAGTTTAGCAAGCCCACTGGCTCTCACATTGATGTATAGCTCTTGGAATTAGCCTTTAACAATAGGGAAGATGACATTTTGCCTCTATCTGCCTAATCTTTGTCTTACTGTTCAATTTCATACAGAACCTGGGTGAGAATAGGGTTGCCACTTCCTGGATCCCTTAAGACATCAACAGCCTGGACACACCTGATGGGAGACACTGAGCCCAGAGCAGTTTCTGTGGCTCTTGGCCAGATCACGCATTTGTGTTCTGAGAAATACACCGGCACTAAAATAAAACCAAGCAAAAAAGCTAGAAAAAGGAGATAGAGGGAAGGTAAGAACAAAAACAGCAGCTCTAAAGCATGGCTTCATATATTCATTCACTGAGCATACTCCTGTTGGGAATCCACCCTTCACAGGGTGCTGGGAAAGGCAGACAGGCACCCAGGCTGCGGTCACATAGCGTCTACTCTTAAGCAGCACCTTTGCAGAGGAGACCTTGCCTCCTCCCCTACCTGCAGTCCACCCCGCTGCCAGCCTCCTTCACCTCTAAGGCCACATCATCTAATTAATGTCCTTAATAGCACTGACGACAGTCTATCATTTTAAGTGTTTATCATCCATCTTCCCCAACAAGAACGTGCTCTCCTCTACTGGAGAGCGGGGACCAGGGCTACCTCAGTCACTGCTGCAACCCCAGAGTGCACTGACACAGTGCCTGGGACACTGGTGCTTCCCCAAAATACTTGTGGACCAAATTAACCATGTGATAGGTACTATGGTAAGGAAGAGCTGGAAGTGGGGTGGAACGAGTGGGAAAATCTAGGGTGTTTGGGGAAGCCTTCTTGGAAGGAGAGACATCCAAGAGCTGAGGGAACAGCTCAGGACAGCAAAGGACACAAGTTACTTATCCAGGTAAATAAAGGTGGAAAAGTAATTCCAGAAAGACAGAAGAATACAGATTAAAGCATCCTAGGAGACTGTGTGGTGTGTGCTAGAACACCACGTATGTAATGGGGCTGCGCCAGGCACAGTGGCTCACGCCTCTAATCCCAGCACTTTGGGAAGCTGAGGTGGGCGGATCATCTGAAGTCACGAGTTCAAGACCAATCTGGCCGACATGGTGAAACCATATGTCTACTAAAAATACAAAAATTAGCCTGGTGTGATGGTGGGCGCCTGTAATCCCAGCTACTCGGAAGGCTGAGGCAGGAGAATCACTTGAACCCGGGAGATGGAGGGTGCAGTGAGCCAAGATGACACCACTGCACTCCAACCTCGGTGACAGAGCAAGACTCCATTTCAAAAAAACAAAAAACAAACAAACAAAAAATGGGGCTGAAGGGAGAGCCTGGTGAGTTTGTGGGAACATGGAGGAGAGTGTGAGAGAGAAAAAGAATGTGATGGAGGTGAAATGGCAGATGCACACGCCCCAGGATAGAGCCAGGTACAAATACAGCAAGTGACTCAGCCAGAGAGGCAGCACCCAAGGGTAAGCCTGAAGGATCTGGTGAGATCTCCAGGCTGAGAAGTGGAGGGAGAGGGCTCCAAGCAGAATGCACAGGGGAAAGGCCCAGGGGGAGGGTCTTCCAACTCTTTCTTACCATAGCACCTGAGTGAGTGAGTGGTTGGGTGGAAATGCATGGCACAGCCCCAAGGCCTCTGTGTACCTGCAAATACATCAGCTATCAGCCCCGCCATGTGCAGAGAGAAACAGTGGGTGAAGCAGAAGTACTGACCTTTTCCACCAGGTCTTCAGAGGCCTGTTCCTCACAGAGGTGAATTTTGTCTTCGATGCACTTCTTCAGAAGCTCTCCCTTGCTTTTACTCTTGGACCGTGACTTTCTCACCTTGGACTGTTGCTGGAGAGGGGTTGGGGAAGACACTAGTAAGAAGGCTATCACCAGCAAGTCCATGCAGCCCCCCAGGGCTTTGCAGGTCAAGAGAAGTTTCTGCAGCTGCCAGAACTGCGAATCTCTGCCTCAAGCCAGAGACGGGAGGAGAGAGATACGTTCTTCTGGAAGGAGCTCAGTTTCAGAGCCTTTGATCTTCACACAATCTGGTGCGCAGAACCTCAGCTCTGCAGTCAGACAGCAGAACCAAGCTGTGTCCACCTCCTAACTAGCCGTGGGACCTCAGACCTGTCAGCCTCTCTGAGAAGGGGATGTGACAAATGAGGTCCCTGTTCTTGCAATGCTTCCATGACAGTGGAGAAAACCGTCTGAAAACCTGGAAACTAAATAAGGACACTAGGAGCAGAGCCATGTTGGCAGACAGGACCTGGAAGCCCAGGGTACAGACTGGGGTTGGGAGGGGATATCCCCAGAGAGGGCCGGGCAGGGAGCCCATTGTGCACATCTCTGCCCAACTACCAGGCGGTGATGTCAAGCTGGTAGCCTGAAACTGGCCTTGGGAGGAGGATTTACACCATGGAAATGGGTGAATGCTACAAGTCAGGATTCCCCTCCCCACCTTCCCTCTCTCCTGAGACCCTTCCCAGCATGAGTCTGGTCAGGGCCCAGTCCACAGGGAGCCTTGAGGTCATGTTGGAACTTGGATCCCAGCTCAGAGAGCCACAGAAAGGGCTGAAGGAAGAGGGTAGTGAATCTGACTTGCACATCTCTTTAGAATTTGCAAGTGCCTTTGAAACTCATGTCCGTGAATGGTCTGGGAGCCCTGGGGGCCACCAGCAGACGAGGTCAAACAGTGGACACTACCTGTTTTGCGGGCCTAGATCAAAGAGAAGTGTGCGGGGAAGAAATGCAGGGGTTCTCTGGTGGTGACACGACAGGTGGGTGAGGACGGCCAAGGGATGGAGAATGCACTAAGCATCCACTAACATTGCTCTACCTGGCCCCATATATCCTCATGATACCCATTTTACAGATGAAAACATGAAGACTAAAACAACAATTTTCTCCCCAGGCCTTGGTGCTTAGGAAACTGAGAGCAGGCTCTCCCGCCACCTTCTCTGCTGCTATCTCGGGACTGAGCAAGTGAAGGGAGCTGTGGCTCCATCGGTGCAAAAGCCTGACTGTGCTGGCTCAGCCTTCCCTCTGGAGAATGTGGAGCGAGCAACTTCATGACATCTGCCTCCTCTGAGGCAGTGGCCAAAGCCATTTCCATCTGAAAACCAAGCACCTTGGGCAACTGTGAAGGTAGAAACTTCGTTCCTGCCGGGACTCACCAGCTTCAAGGCAGGGGAACCAGCAGCTCATGGACTCCCTCCCCTCACTTCGGTGAAGTGAAAATTATTTTCCCCCATTGTTCAAAATTATTTAAAATTTTTATAATTTACCCGTTACTCTTATTCTGTATCTCCTACATCCTTGTAAGAACAGAAGTAGGAAAAAAAAAAAAAGAACTTAAAAAAAAATTAAAAGAATGTTTTTTTTTCCAAGTGGTTTCTGCATCCACTGGTTTACATTCAGAAAGGATGTGTCTGAGTTTTTTTCTTTCTCTAAAGGAAAAGAAGTGAGTTTGAAGTCAGGAAACACCAGCTCCCAGCCCAGTTCTCTACCTCCTATAGCGCTACTCCCTTTTCCTCTGCTGGCCTGTTTTCTCATCTGTAAAATGGGACACCATATCGACCTCTTAGCACTGCTGTGAACGTCAGGGAAGATGATGTAAGCTTCGGTGATTTTAATATGTTTTCAGTCTCAACTATTACTACCTTAAGAGAAGTCTCAGATGTGTTTTGCACACATCTGGCGCTTGGCTGCTGGGATGTTTAAGCCAACAAAATTGACTGCACACCTACTATGTACTTGGCACTCTTGAGTGCTGAATGGGCCGGAGAGCTTATTTTTAGTGAAAGCACAGACAAAGGGGAAGTCAAGGAACCAGCACATTTCAGATAATGACAAATAAAATAATGAAACCCAGCATGTGATAAAGAATGCCTAGGGAGAAATAAAATCATGAAACCCAGCATGTGATAAAGAATGCCTAGGGAGAGGGTAATTTTAGACAGGTGCTCAGGGAGGGCTTCTTGGTGGAGGTGGCATTTGAGCCGAGACATCAATGGGCTACAAAGCATATACATGGCAGAGAAAACAGAGGTTCGAAGGCCTTATCTTATGTTGGGAGCCCCAGAAGCAGAGCCTGAGGCAGGGATTAGGTGCACGTGGTTTCCTGAAGGAGATCTCTTTAGGATCAACCTCTTGGGGAACAAGGGAACAGAACAGGAAAGGGAAGAGCCAAGTAAGGCTGTGGTCTCAGGTGAAGTTGAGCCTAAATTGGTCCCTGGGGGCTTTGAAGCAAAAACTGCACCAAAGAGTTGTCTGTCCTCAGGCACATAATAGCTGCTCATTAAAAGGCAGCTGCCAGTCATCATCCTTTAAGATCTTGTGCAAGAGCCCCTCTTTCCCTGACCCACCTGAGCTGAGCTGAGCATCCCTCCTCCATGCCATATAGAAAGGCCTTTTGTACCCAGAGTCAGTCATTAGCTGTGGCTGGAGGAGCGGGCAGGAGAGATAGAGTAGTATCTCAGGCCAGGCAGCTCCCATCAGGAGAAGATTGTGGCTGGGCGAGGCTGCTGGTGGATGGTGCAACAGCCCAGGCGTCAGGATCAGGGCACAGCACCAGCGGTGTCCACTATAAACTTTAAAGCTGGGACAACCCTGGAGATTCCTGGAATAGCTAGACACCAATGCGGCCAGAGAGGAGAGGATAGGCGAGCATGAGGTGAGATGGACTCAGGGTGGTGGAGAGGCCAGACCCTGTAGGCTCAGCAGCTGGGAGACAGACCTGCTTCTATAATCCAGAGGCCACTGACACGTCCATCCTACCTGCAGCTCGGGGGCAGCCAGGGCCTGGTCCAGCTTCAGGAACTCTGCTTCTCGCCACACAGTCTGAAATTGCTGCAGCAGAACTCGGGCCCGGATTTTGGGGAGGGCCAAGCTCCTGTCCATCTGAGCAAAGCAGCCATGGACCTCCTGCCTCATCCGGAGCAGCTCCTCTTCAGACAGGGAGAAGACTGAGGAGCAGAGCTTCCTGGAAGGAAGAACAGAGACATGCTCTTACACAGAGAAAGCCTGGAAAAAAAGCTGGGGTGATGAAGCTGAAGATGCAAAGCTCATTCCTCAAATCTAGGTCTGCAAAAAAACCTTGGCTCCCTAATCATGCATTCCTGCCACAGGCATTCCTTGAGCACCTAATGCACGTCGTGTTGCACAGGACATTGTATTGGAGCTAAGAACAAGAGCTGCATGAGGCCAGGCTGTGAGGGTGTCTTTGAGGAGGCAACAGGCCTTCCAGTGTCCATGACTTTCAATTAACCTGGTCTCGCTTCAGAAACAGACACGTAAACAAAGCACTGTCTGTGGAGCCTGGTCAGCAGCATTCTCTATGTAGGTCCAATGGACAGAGGAGAGACGCACAATACTCAGCTCAGGGGGGTCAGGGAAATGGGAGTCCCTTGTGATTGGTTCCGAAGGGTAATGATTGACAGCTATCATTCAGTGAAAACCGATTCCATGCTGGGAACCATGCTGAGTGACTTAGTGTTATGGATTGAATTATGGCTCCCAAAAAGATATATTCAAGTCCTAACCTGGGACCTGTGAATGTTGGTTTATTTGGAAATAGGGTATTTACAAATGTAATTAAGAAGTGAGCTAAAATGAGGCCATATTGGAGCACAGTGGACCCTTAATGTAGTATGACTGGTGTCCTTATAAGAAAAGAGACAAACACACAGGGAGGCCATCTGACACGGAGGCAGAGATTGGGGTGTGACATCTAAAAGCCAATGAATGCTAAGAATTGCCAGAAACACCAGCAGTAAAGGTATGGAACAGATTCTCCCCCGGTGCCTTCAGAGGGAGCACGGTCCTGCCAATGCCTTGATCTTGGACGTCCAGCCTTCAGAACAGTGGGAGAATACATTTCTGTTGTTTTAAGCCACCCAGTTTGTGGTACTTCGTTATGGTAGTGCTCAGAAACAAATGCAATGACCTACATCATTGCTGTTCCTTACACCAAATTACAGACAAGGAAATGAACAGTCCCTCTTCCTTTCCAGCAAGGCCCATAGCCCACTCTAATGGAGAGAATGGCCACACAATTGCTTTCTCAGCCTCAACGGGGCTGGTTCTGGCCCATGAGATATAAGAGGAAATCTGCTCAGAAAGTCTGGACAGAATTATTCAATGAACAAAGATTCTCTGTAGATTTGTTTGAATGTTCTGGTAATGTTCTGTCAATGCAGCCAGCATCGACGGAGGCTTTAAAATTCAGAATTATCTGCAGAACACCCAACGTGGTTGGCCAGAGTCAGGTTTACCATACCCAAATCTCAGTGTGGGAATGTGGGGCTGTGGCTCTGCCAGAAAGGTCTCTGGAAAGAGAAGGAGACCTTCAGAGACTACGCGGGCCCTCTGCTGAAAACAGTCTGAGGCCTGACCCCATGTCATGTGACACCCATCTTGGGTTCCTCACTTCATGGGGCCCAACGATTTTTAAAGCAACCTTTGGAAACTGCAGCAACCCCCTTGCACCTTCCCTCGTGCAAAGCCTTCGCACCGCTGTTTGCTGATTACGCCGAACCCAAAGTAAAAGCAATTCTGAGATGACTCTCAGTCACTATTCCTGTCACTTTCAAACCAGATAGGCCCTGAGCACTCTTGTCTTAATCCTCTGTTACGTAAGTGCCAAGAGAATACAGAAATAGAGGAGGCGAGATCTTTGCCCTGAAGGAGTTTGAAATCAAGACAGGAACTTAGGAAAGAAGGCTCGAAGACACTCTTTCTCTTGCAAAGATATTCCTCATTAATTCCTACTTTAGCCAACCAGTTTTACAGCAACCCCATCTTGGTTGAAATTGGAAAGCTTCTAAAAATGTGTTTCAAATCTATTGTGCAAAGCCATTTTTGCATAATGCCTCGGAAATAAAGGCTGCAACCTTTTAGAATCTTAAATAAGCAAAGTATATGAGCAGACTTGCACTGCGTGCATTGTGAGTTGATCCTCTTTAACCCTTGGAAAAATCATATACTTTTCTGATAGCCAAGTGAGAGTTCTCTTTTTCCCGTTAAATGGCTAAATCAGCAGTGGCTTTGGTAATACTCCCTGCAAAATGAATCCAAATGAAGTTGAAGAAAATGACCAGCTGGTAATAGGAATGCCAAACTTAATTCACTTGCTACGAAGAGTCCAAAGTCAGTTTGAACATGAGAGGAGAATTTTCTGGAATGTAGGCTAAGCTGAATAAATACTGTTGAGGGCAATTCATGGGAATAAGAAATGGCATTTAAGGATCTGATTTTTATGGACTAAGAGAAGAGAGTGTCTTGTTTTCCTTGTCAAGAAAGCAAAAGCTAACAAGCATTAAAAAATAAATGAGGCCAGAATCACAAAAGAGAGAGACGGGAAAGGGCCAAACTTCACTTAATGCAAACCAAGACAGTATCAATCTTCGCAAACACCTGGGGACCTATTTTCCTGGTAGCAAGGTCAGACTCTGGGGATGAAAACTGTGTGGGAAAGGAAAGCACATTAAATCACAGAGGCCAGCAAGATTCTAGGAGATAACTTCTACAAGGGAGGAGGGAAATCGAAGACAGATCCTGCGTCCTTTAAAGCGTCCAAGATGAACCCAAGCTCTTACATAAACATTGTCTTCACATTTAAACTACTCGATAGTGTCATGTACTGCCAAAAGCACCTTAAATGATTTGATTTAGTTTTTGTGGTCTTCGTTTTACAAGCGGGAAAGCTGAGGCCCAGAGAGGTTAAACAAGTTGCACAAACATAAGTGGTGGTCCTCGGTCTTTTGTTCTACATCGCCCATGTCTCATTCTACACTGGCTATGTTAGAGGCCCCTCCAGTTTCCAATCTGTTGCCAGCCGCAAACAACCACCAAAAGCTCTGTTGGTCTCTATTACAGCACAAAAGGCTCCCTTCCTGGGCCAGGCCAAATCCCAGCTGCACAAAGAGCTGGCAAATGTTTCAGGGAAGTAAAGGACTGTGGGCACTGGCCCCTCTGGAATACGACTCCAACTTGTCTTCATTGTTTCCACCACTCTCCCATGTCTTTAAAAAATTACTGGTGAAATTTATCTTGGGAGGCTGAGGCGGGAGGATTGCCTAAGCCCAGCAGTTTGAGACCAGCCTGGGCAACAGGGTGAGACCCTGTCTCTACAAAAAATAAACTAAATATTAAAAATAAATGTATCCATTATTTTCTAGTTACTGCAGCAGGAGTGTTAGGTGTGATCCACTGCATCCCACTCAGAAGTGGAAGTCATTACATGGTTCCTGAATTAATAATAAAGATACATAGTCCGAGAAATGGACCAGGGATGAAAGGGCCAGGTGAAAGGATGACATAGTGTGGTGGAAGAACTAACACGAAGGTCAAGATCATGAGCAGCCTTGATGCCTGGAGAAATGAGCAGGGCCTGGCCTAACCACAAGCTCCCCTTCCCCCTCTGTTCCTGTGGATCATGTCCCCTCCCCAGGGGACATTTCTTATTAGGGGAACCAGCATTTATCCCTGAGTACTCAGCTCCCTGGAGTTATTCAGCCCAGGGAATTATTCAGACAAGCTAATCACATTTTCCCTTGGAAGCCAGGGGCCACCCATCCTCTTGTTACTACAAACCCTATGGCCCTGGTTCTGTACTCTGCTCAATCCCTGTAGGGTCCTGTGTGACATTCGAGGTCCTCCCCCCAGGGCGTGATTTCATATGACTAATTAACGCTGGTAATGTCATCTGTCTGGTGCCAGGTATCTCATGCTTGGCCATCCCCACAACCACAGGGCAGGAATCTCCCTGGCATCAATGGGGTGGGGAGGGGTGATTAGGACGCGCAGGAGCACTCACATGAAGACCAGGTGCTCCCAGCGTCTCAGCTCCGCCTGCTCCTCTGTCGCGGCCTCGGGAGCATCATCCTTCAGTCTCTGCCTCACGCTCTGGACACCCTCCTGGTCCCTGTCCCTCTCCTCCCCCTCCAGCTGCTCGGCCCGCACGGCCATCTCCTTGCCGTGCTCCTCCAGGATCTGCTGTAGGAAGAGCCAGGGCACGCTGCGCTTGAGCAGCTCCTGGGTCATGGCTGAGTTCTGCAGGCGCCGCAGCTCGTCGGTGGCCTTCTCAAACAGCGAGAGGGTCAGGGCCCTGAGATCGTCCAGGGCAGCCTGGTCCAGACGCTCCTGCAGCTCCTCCAGGGCGGCGCCCTGCTCCTCCATCAGGCTCCTCCACTGGCGCAGGTACTGGCCGGCATCCTCAACCGCTTGGAAGGCCTCGCTGATGGAGAGCTGCTCCCTCCGCTGCTCCCGGTGCTGGAGTTTCAGAAAAGAAAATTAAGTGGGGGCAGGGCTTGGCGGGTACAGCCCTTTGGCTGAAACACTTTGGTGCAGGAGTTATTTATTTATTTATTTATTTATTTATTTATTTTCACATTTGGAAAGTTATTCTGTTTATTATTTATTTATTTATTTATTTATTTATTTATTTTTTAGATGGAATCTCGCTCTGTCGCCCAGGCTGGAGTGCAGTGGTGCGATCTTGGCTCACTGCAACCTCCACCTCCTGGGTTCAAGCAATTCTTGTGCCTCAAACACCCAAGTAGTTGCAATTATAGGCACGTGCACCATGATGCCAGGCTAATTTTTTAAAAAATTAATTTATTTTATTTTTAAATTTATTATTTATTTATTTATTTTTGAGATAGGGTCTCCTTCTGTCGCCCAGGCTGGAGTACAGTGGCACTACCTTGGCTCACGGCAACCTCCGCCTCCCAGGTTCAAGTAATTCTACTGCCTCAGCCTCCCCAGTAGCTGGGATTACAGGTGTGTTCCACCACACTCAGCTAATTTTTGTATTTTTTGTAGAGCTGGGGTTTCACCATGTTGGCCGAGCTCCTCTTGAACTCCTGACCTCAAGTGATCTACTCACCTCAGCCTCCAAAAAAAATGGGATTATAGCTGTGAACCATTGTGCCAGGTCTAGAAAATTACTGTTTTTTAAAAAAAATACGGTAGAATCCTTATGTGTTCACCATTCATTAAACATGTATTTGTTGAGTAGGTAAAGCCCAGGAGACAGACCGCCTGGGTTCGGGTCCTGGGTCCCCCATTCACAAGCTGAGTGATCCAAAGCAGGTATTTTACCCTCTCTGTGCCTCCATTTCCCTATCTGATTGGTAAATGGGGACAATAATAGGACCTCCCTTTCAGAATAGTTGCGAGGATTATGTGAGTTACTTCACACACGTACAGCTCATAGAAAAGTGCCTGACATAGTTTATGCCAATAAATATCTGTTAGTGTTATTACTATGTGCTAGGTACACAGGATCTGCAAGCTATAATATTATAAAGGGGAATCAAAAAGCTAAGATCATTGAGAGACAACTTAAATGAGGAGGTCAGTGAAGCTTTTAAGGAAGAAGATCTAAGTGAGACCTAAGGAAGGAGGTCTCATTTGAATCAGGTTAAGAAATGCGGAAAGAACCTTCCTGGGAGAAAGAACAGTTGGTGCAAAGGCCCCGTGGTGGGGAAAAAAATTGAGATGCTTTTTTTTTTTTTTTTTTTTTTTTTTTATAACAGTGGGTCCACAGATAGTCTCAGCTCTATTTTTTTTTTTTTTTTTTTTTTTTTTGAGATGGAGTCTGGCTCTGTGGCCCAGACTGGAGTGCAGTGGTGCAATCTCAGCTCACTGCAAGCTCCGCCTCCTGGGTTCATGCCATTCTCCTGCCTCAGCCTCCCGAGTAGCTGGGACTACAGGCACCCACCACCGTGCCCGGCTAATTTTTTGTATTTTTTAGTAGAGACGGGGTTTCACCGTGTTAGCCAGGATGGTCTCGATCTCCTGACCTTGTGATCCGCCCACCTCGGCCTCCCAAAGTGCTGGGATCACAGGCATGAGCCACTGCACCTGGCCTCTCAGCTCTATTTTAAGAGAACATAAGATGCTCTTCCAAAGTAAGAACTCAATAAATGTTAGCACCAACCATTATCATTAGTCACTCAAACCAGCACTCCTATTTCCTTTCCCATGCAGACATTACTAGTATACCATAACCTGTGTTTATGGGTCCTGGTGACCAGAGAGTGTCAATTCATTCATTCTACAAACATGTATTGAGCACCTACCAGGTGTCAGGCAGTGTTCTCAACAGTGGGGATGCAACCTAAGTTTTTGCCTTCATGGAGCTACATCCTAATTCTGGGCCACTTGTAATGTTTATCAACAGTAGCTGCAAGAAATAATAGTCACAGAAGACTGCCAAAATCTCCTATAGGATGTGGAGTTCATTATTCTTTCTAGACACTGACCTTCAGGCAAGACAGTAGGGAAATGGAGCGCTGGGCCCCACTGTTTTAATCCCTTAACCAGTGGCTCAGAGATGAATGGTGTGATGCTCAAAGATGGGGTATGCATCAGTGATCAAGGTCAGAATCACGGCTTTCTGTTGGGTTCCAAACTTGGTAATAAAGAGCAGAGTTTCTATTGATCAAATTTGAAAGTTATTCTTCATCCCCTTGGTTGCAAATCATACCAACCAACTACTTGGGTGTCACCCTGCATGCTCCATACATTCCCTGAATCTCTCCTTATCCCCTGTACTCAGGGGTCTGTGTTAGTTTAGGCCTTCATCTGCTCACACCTGGACAAGTACCAGAACCTCCCATGGGGTTTGTATTCCCAGGTTCCTCAACTCCATCTGACAAGGTGCTCACCTCAGCTTCCTAAATCACAGATCTGATGTCTCTCTCACCTCCTGAAGACGCTTCAACATTCCTCAGTATCCTTGGATGGAGGGTAACCCCTTAGCCCGGCACACCATGCCCCCATTGACATGCTGCTGCATTCCCTTCTGGGGCCTACCCTAGTCCCTCTGCACACTCCAGCCTCATCATATTCTTAGAGTCCCCAAATACATGCCATGCATGCCACTTACTAGATAATTGACCTTGACCACATACACACACACAAACCCAGTGGTATCTCCCTCATAGGGTTAATGTAAAGATTAAACAAGATATCTTATATAACATGCTTAGCACAGTGCTAAGTAAGCACCCAACAAATGTTAGCACCTACCATCATCATTAGTCACTCAAACCAGTATCAGGAGAAGCCCACACCCGATATTCAACGTGGGTTCTTTTCTATTTCCCTAAGTGTCGGCCGGCCTGAGAAATAAAGGGAAAGAGTGCAAAACAGAGAGATTTTAAAGCTGGGTGTCTGGGGGAGATATCACATGTCAGCAGGATCCGTGATGCCTCCTGAGCCATAAAACCAGCAAGTTTTTATTAGTGATTTTCAAAACGGGTGGGAGTGTATGAATAGGATGTGGGTCTCAGAGATCACATGCTTCACAAGGTAATAAAATATCACAAAGCAAATGCAGCCAGGGCAAGATCACAGGACCACAGGACGGGGAGAAGTTAAAATTGCTAATGAAGTTTCGGGCACGCATTGTCATTGATAACATCTTACCAGGAGATAGGGTTTGAGAGCAGATAACTGGTCTGACCAAAATTTATTAGGTGGGAACTTCCTCGGCCTAATAAGCCTGGGAGTGCTACAGGAGACCGGGGCTTATTTCATCCCTTTGTCTACAATCGTAAAAGATAGCTGCCCCCAAAGCAGCCATTTTAGAGGCCTACCCTCAGGGGTGCATTCTCTTTCTCAGGGATGTTCCTTGCTGATAAAAAGAATTCAGTGATATTTCTCCTATTTGCTTTTGAAAGAAGAGAAATATGACTCTGTTCCGTCTGGCTCACCGGCAGTCAGAGTTTAAGGTTATCTCCCTTGTTCCCTGAACACTGCTGTTATCTTGTTCTTTTTCCAAGGTGCCCCAGATTTCATATTGTTCAAGCACAAATGCTCTACAAACAATTTGTGCAGTTAACACAATCCTCACAGGGTCCTGAGGCGGCATACATCCTCCTCAGCTTACAAAGATGACCGGATTAAGAGACTAAAGTAAAGACAAGCATAGGAAATCACAAGGGTATTGATTGGGGAAGTGACAAGTGTCCATGAAATCTTCACAATTTATGTTCAGAGACTGCAGTAAGGACAGGAATAAGAAATTATAAAAGTATTAATTTGGGGAACTAATAAATGTCCACGAAATCTTCACAATTATGTTCTTCTGCCACGGCTTCAGCCGGTCCCTCTGTTCGGGGTCCCTGACTTCCCGCAACAAACCAGCACTCCTAATTCCCTTGTCCATGCAGACATTACTAGTCTACCATGATCCTCTGCTGTGCTTGGGCTGGATAAGAACTGTAGCATCCTGCTGAACACAGCATTCCAAAAAGTCGCTACCAATCAACAGTAGATGGCACATCATGGTGCCTGCCTAGCTGCCCTTCTGATCCTAGTGCATCAATGGCAATGTCTGGCACAGTACCTCCACTTGATAGGTATTAGAAAGTGCTTATGCAAAGAATAAATAGCATCATGCCTTATATACCTTTTGTAGCAACTCTCGTCTTCTCTTAGTTATCAACTTTTGCTGGAGTTTTTTCTTTTCCTGCTTTAAGTCATTGTCCAACTTCTGCTTGATTGAAAAGACTTCTGTCTGAGCCCGCTCCAATAGCATTTCCATTTGGTCTTCATCCAGGTACCCTGCTCTAGATGGGAAGGATGTAAAGTTAGTAATGTGGTCTCCAAACTCACTTGTAGCTTAACTGCTATTGTGCCTGAGCATTCATCTCCATATTAGTTTGGTTTGAATCAGAAAATCTTTACCCTCCAGAAGAATTAGGAGAATGGGCAGCAAAGACATTATTAAAGTACTAGCAGCATAAGGGCAGAGAAAGCTCAACACAAGAGAGACGTTATTAGGGTGGAAGTGGGCAAGAGTTCTGGGAGAAAGTAACATTTGAGAGGACCACTCTGGTGCAGACAGAAGTTTCCAAGGGGAGATGGTAGATTAAAAATCCTGGTGGATTAAAAATCCAGAACAGCACAAACAAAGTCAAAGAGGCAAAAGCAGGGAATCCTCTGTGTGACAGTTAATTTTATGGACCAATTTGATGGGCCCAGATGAAATGTTCTTTCTGGGTGTGCTGTGAGGGTGCTTCCAGTGGAGGTCAGCATTTGAATCAGTGGACTCAGTAAAGCAGATGGGCCTCCCCAGTGTGAGCGGGCATCATCCAATATGCTGGGGTCCTGAATAGAACACAGAGGCAGAGGAAAGAGGTATCTGTCCCTTTTTTTTCTGCCTTACAACTTACAGTGGGATCTCTCATCTCTTCTCCTGCCCTTGGACTGGGACTTACACCAGCAGCTCCCTCTGGTTCTCAGGCCTTCAGATTTGGACTGAATTACACCCTTAGTTTTCCTGGATCTCCAGCTTGCAGGCAGCAGACAAGGGGATTTCTCAACCTCCATAATTGCTTGAGCTAGTTCCTATTTATATAGGAAGCTATTTGTATGGCAAGCTGGAAACAGCAGATGATGCTGTCTATATGTTTATATATCCTGTTGGTTCTGTTTCCCTGGAGCACCCTGACAAGTACATTCTGCTACTAGCATCACCACTATCATTCCTAGACTGCCTGCATCCCTGGGCTGAGTCCCCAGCTTGGCCCAGGGAAGACTCTCAACGGAGGTTCCTTGAAGGAATGAACAGGTGAAGGATAATTATGTCTTTTAAAATAGAATTTGAAAAGAAGAGATGAAGCGTCTTTCCCTGGTGACTGCTCACAACCAGCTGGTGGGCCCTTAATTTCAAGGCAAAGAACTGTTTCTTTCACTTGAGTGCAAATTAAAATCAGGAATGCCAAGTAAATTGAAGTGATAAATTCATTAGCATCTTTAGGTGGGGAGTGTTTGCATAATTTGCACCTTACCTAATCCTCATTAATCAGAGCAGGAGAGGGTCAAAGTCCCAATAAGGTTACTTAAGTAGCAGAACCACAGTAAAACAACAGATTGTCATAAGAAAGTCATTTTATAGTCATGTCCCTATTCATTTCAGAGCTTCCTGTAACCTAAAAGAATAAATTTTGTTCTTTACAATTAAGTCACCTCAAAGAATAGCTGAGAAGGAATGCTGGAGAGAGGCAAGGGATGGCACTTAGAACTCTGTGACATCACCATATACCTGACCACACAGAATCCCAGATGCTGCTCTGAAAAGCCATTTGGAAACCGAGACAGGCATCTCTGTGTTTGTATTTAGTGTCAAAGGTGAATGCAAGAGCCAGCAGTGTGCTAGATCTTAAAGAGAAGTAGGCTCTTCCATCACATGGTCGACGTGAGCCTCATCACTGATTTCTCCAGAATATGTTGTTGGGATTCTGCTTCAGAATAATCCTGTGTGGGGACGTGTAGCTACATCAAAATTGGCCATGAGGGGGGTTCACTATACAGTTGTCTAGACTATTGCATATGCTTTTAAAATTCTGTAACACAAAGGATTTTTACAAGATAATTCTTCTTTAGAAATAATAAGTGAGGAGCAGTCAGCACATATGCTGAATAAACAGAAGTAGTAGGTCTCCAGTGAGGAAGGTTTGTGTCAGGCAGTTCATTTGTGCCATGGTGTGAATGTCACCTCCAAAACTAGAAATTTAATTGCCATTGTGACAGTATTAAGAGACGGGACTTTTACGAGATGATTAGGTCATGAGGGATCCACCCTCATGAATGGATTAATGCCATTTCTGTGTTAGTTATCACAGGAGTTTGACCCCCTTTTTCACTCTGTCTCACACATGCACTTCCTCCCACATGATGCCTTTCTACCATGTTATGATGAAGTAAGAAGGCCCTCATTTGATCTTGAACTTCCCAGCCTCTAGAACTGTGAACCAAATATATCTCTCCTATTTATAAATTACCCAGTCTGTGGTATTCTGTCATAGCAGCAGAAAACAGACTAAGACAACTTGCACTGTTGGGACAGTGTTGGGTGGTACCTCTCATGCTTCTGAATGAGGTGAGTCAGCTGGGCTGCAGCGGTGCTCAGAAGGCCCTGCACACGGGTCTCTGATGACTGGAGGTTCTGAACCAGATATTCCCTGTGGCCAAACCTTTTACTTAAAAAAAAAAAAATACTAGCCTGGAAAAAGTCCATTAACTCTTCTACATTCTCCTGTCAATAAAAAAAAAAAATCAAGAAAATATGCCTAATTAAAATTTAGAGCATAATCTTTCTAGACATTTAAAATATTATTTTTCCTTTTATAAGAAAAACACAAGAAAAGAAACATGACAATTAACACCTTTAACTTCCCTGCCTATAACAAAGGCTTATGAGAAAATCACACACAATTAAGAAATGAGGGCTTTGAAAAGGTGCATTCTAGACCCAGATGGTAAAGAGTTAACAAAACAACTTTACTGCTCTGCAGAACATAAATTTCACTTATTCATTTATCCTTCATCCATGCACACACCCCTCCCACCTGTGGAGTTCCCACAAGTGCTGAGCACCAGGAGGACGTGCTAAAGTTCTGGGATAAGTCAGCCATCAGCCCAACCCCAAGGAGCTCCCATCACCACAGAGAAGACAAGACCAGGGTGGGCACAAAGAAAGCCAGAAGGTTTTCCCTCAGCCTGCAAAATGAACAAAACCCAACCAAATACAGGAGAGTAATAACCTAGCTAATGTGAGGTGTGTTCTCTGGACCTAACACTGGGCCAAGAGTGTTTCATGTCCCATCTAACTTAACCTAGGGAGACAGTACTATTATTCCCATTTCACAGATGAGGAAACTGAGTCCACATCAGACAAAAGGCTGAGCAGGGATTTGAACTCAGCAGTCTAATTCCAGGACCTGTGCTCTAACATCATAATAGGCTGCTTCCAAAAATTCCACTTTAACCAGAGGCATAGTAATTAGACCAGGAACATCAGTAGAACTACTCTATGGACTGGCTTGGTTGTCCTTTTTCCATCTGCGGAAGTATCACCCATACAATGGATAACTAAAAGTGTCAACGCTTTGTTCAATGGGGAACATACGACGGCATGGATGTTCTCCTTTCCACATAAGAGCTGTAACATCTCCACATCTCGACACTTGGGAATTAGCACCATCCAGTCGTTGAAAAGCTGCGTGGTCAGTCAGGTGTGGCTTCACACACACTAGCATCTCCCTAAGAGCCACTGGCACCAGAATCCATACAATAGGAAGGTTGTGGCAATGCTCCGGTTCTCCACGGAATGGGATCCATGCGTGTTGGTTGATGGGTCGTGAGGAAATTCAGAATTGGCATCCTTAAATACTCTCATAGCTCTGGTCAAAAAAGCTTGTATGGTAGTACTGTTATCACCTGTGGAGTTACTTCTTCCGGCATAATATCATTCACAAGAGCACGCATTCTTTTTAACTTGAGTGCTCTGGTACTGAGAGTCAGCCATTGCTCACTATGAGAGTAAAATGACAACAACTCTGTAAATATCTAAGTAATGCCATGATGTCTGAATACCAAGCTACGAACACGACAGAATTCGTGCTTTATGTGCGTATATAAATCTAGGAAAAACCTAGATTAAATGGAGCAGGGAGCTTGTTCTCTTTACGTCCTGCGTGCCTTCTGGGAGGGAGAGGCTTGTGACGATTACTAGGTCTCCTCCCGGGACGGCCCTAATGTCTTAGTCCTCATGCACTCAACTTGGTGCTGGCTGCAGGTCCCTGGAGGATGGGCAGGGCCAGCCTTTGTCTTTGTCAGTAGTTGGGAGAATGCTGAGGACCTGCTCACAGATGCAGGGACGGCCGCCTGTGCCCGCACCTCCTCTGGATGTTCCAGTTCATCTTTCGCCACTGTCTTAGCAATGGAGTAACAAAGCCTGGTCGTTAAGCCCTGATTCCCCCTAGGTGGATGTAGATCATTCTGCTACGGGTGGAGTCTGTCCTTCTAGTACAAACAGGGAATTTCACAGTGGGAAAATTCACCAGCAAGCCAACTTTCTGGAACGATTTTCACTTATAAAGATAAAAATGAGATAGCAGTGTCCACTACATCAGAAAAAGCACTGCTCAAGAACCACAGGGATGCACTCATGACTGTGAACACATTACTGGACTGAGGAACGAATCAACCCCTGTGGACCTGACTCTGCCAGATGCTGCTCCAAGGCCTCCAGCACTATTCAAAGGTACCCTTGCTGTTTTAGAAACAGAGGTTGGCTCAAAACCTGGAAGAGGCCGCCTGTCTAAACAATGACATTTGCATTTCTCAAACATCTGACATTCGAGATAGAAAGTTCCATACAGTAAAATAAGAGTGTGCTCACAATCACCCTTACCATCAGCTACAGCAAGCTGTCAGCACCAGGGATAGTGCTGGAGCCAAACAACAAAGTGCATTCTTGTAAAGCAGTGATGTCACTCTGTGTGCCTGTGTGTGCATGCACTTGTGCACGTAAAATACCTCACACAGGCCTCCTAAGAAATTCCACAGTGATGTGCACGGTTTCAGATAGACTATTTTCACTACTGCCTAAGAAATTATTCTGTTGGACTAACAACATTCTCACTCAAGCTGACATGCAAAAATACACAAATCCCTCCAAGTAAATCCGGGCACAGATACTAAACCCTACATATATATCGATACATGCACACATACATGCATGCATACATATATATATATAGGTATTTATTTTGAGACAGGGTCTGGCTTTGTCACCCAGGCTGGAGCGCAGTGGTGCTATCATGGCTCACTGCAGCCTCCACCTCCTGGGCTCAAGCAATCCTCCCATCTTGGCCTCCCAAAGTACTGGGAGCCACCAAGCCCAGCCTATATTTATTTTCCACTGCTATTTACATTAAACATATGTTATGCCAAGCACTAACTTTCCATGAGTCAGCTCATCAAATTTTCATCACACCGTTGCGAGTGTGGGCATTCTATCACACTCATCTTATAGGTGAGGAAACTCAAAGAAGTGAGGTAACTTGCTCAAGTTCACGCAGTAGACCAGTGGTGGAACTGAAATTCGAATTCGGGTTAGCCTGAGTTCAATACCTGTACTCCAAGCCACCATTTTCCTTGCTTACTGGAAACCCACACACCAAGAAAGAGAAGAGAAAGCTCACTAGTGCACAGTACAAAGGAGAGGCAGGACTGAACTCTGAGAGAGGAGACGCTTACTGAAACAATTAAGAAAAATTACTTTTCCATCACAGCCAGGCTGATTTGAGGCATTACCTGTATTTTAGAATAATTTTGCAGCAGCGTTTTAGCCGCCTCTGGCTTCAATTCCCCTTTCAAAATAGCACTTTTTATCTGGGTAAAAAAGATACGGTGCAGTTCGTTTCTCTGGAAAACAGCTAGCTGTCTGTGAGCTTTGGCAAAGTCTTCTTCTTGCTGCAAAGCGAGAGACTTCCTCAAGTGCTCCTGTTCCAGGCCATGGAGGGTCCGCAGAAGGCTGTTGCACTCTACAGCAGACTGCAGAGAGGAGAGGGAGCATGTGAGAAACTGACACACTGAACATGCACCTACATGTGCATGCAATGCAGTGTGTACAGGCACATGTGCACACACAATGTGTACATGAACACACAGGTGCATGCACATATGCATGACAATATATATACACATGCACATGCAGCATGCGCACGCATATCTGTGCACATGCACACACGCAATGTGTAATGCAATGTACACACATGCAATATGCACACGCACACATGTGCACACACAGAACATGCACACACACAAGGCACAAGTACATGTGCACACACAGCATATACACACACAGCAAAAACAATGCGCACACATAGACACACAAACAGTACCAAGCTGACAATAATGAGGTTACTAAGCCCTGGAATATGCTGTTCCAACCTGTCCCCCTCTGTTATCTAAATGTTTTCTAGAATAATCTTAAAGCAGAATATTTACAGGGGTGGAAATGTGCAAATCAAACTGCTAGAAAATAGCCTGTAAAAAATGGAAATTTTTTTTTTAAATGGAAATCTCTTCACTATCAATGGATCATGCTGTCAGGCTCACAAGATTATTTCCCCTGTCTTTCATTCTCAACTTCGCTGAAGAGAAAAATACCAGCAATCAGGCCCAAGAGGAGATCCTTTGGGTAAGGAGAAGCAAAAGAGGCGTTAAGAAATGGCTGCTTGGATGCCTGCATAGTATGAGGTCCTGCATGAGGAAAGAAAGGAAGCTTACCTCTACTCAGTTCCTGATGCATTTGCATACAGCCTCCCTGCAATTTCTCAGTAAGAGTCATGCCCTCAGAGGGAGCTGTTCTTCACTCCACATGGGTAGGCGGGATTCTAGAATGTACCCTGAGTCCCAGTCCTCAGTACACACGCCACATAAATTCCCTCCCTTTGAGCATGGGAATAAATCTGATTTAAGTCACTCCTGTGGTTGGTTTACATTATACAGTAAAGCTGAGGGTGTCTGGATGATGTAATTAAGGTCACTAATCAGTTGACTTTGAATTAATCAAAATGAAGACTCTTCTGGGTGGGCCTGACTCCTTAAAAGCACTGGAGCCTTCCTAAAGACAGAGACCCTCTCCTGCTGGCTTTGAAGAACCAAACAGCCATGCTGTAAACTGTCTAGGTAGAAGGGAAACTTCTAGGAGCTGAGGGCCTCAGTCTTGTATCCACAAAGAAGTGAATTCTGCAAACAGCTTGAATGAGCTTGGACCAGGACCCCAAGCTCCAGAGGAGAATGCAGCCCAGACAAGACCCTGATTGCCAGCCTGCAACACCCTGAGCATAGGTCACAGTGAAGCTGTGCCCGGACTCCTGACCATGGACACTGAGACAATGTTACTCAATGTGTGTGGTTGGTTAGGCAGGAATAGAAAACGGACACCCTCCATTTTATAGGAGAAGAAACACAAGCTCAGAGAAGGGAAGAGCTTTCCCAGATTCTCACTCATGCTCAGCAGGGGAGGAAGGGTGTTGAAAGCAAGTGTCCAGGCTCCAAGCTCTGAAACCACACAGGCAGTGACAGTGGAGCTTGTTGGTGAAGCGAAGGCAGGGAAAGGCTTACACGTGCGGGAGGCGTGGGTACAGCCATCCCAAACGGCCAATAGAGGCCTGGCCTTGGGAAGCAGACAGGTGTGGCATCATGCCACAGCTGGGCTGAGCAGAGGCCCAGGGAAGGCAGAAGGGGCACCAGTGCAGAGGGCAAGGGCCAGAGCTCCCTCAGGCTAAACAAGGTCGGAATGCTCTATCACCCACCGGAACTCTCTGGTTGCAGTAAATAGCATCACCTGCTCCCCAATTTTCCAAGTCGCAGACCTGCTCACCTCCACTTCCAATAACTCACAGAAGCTCATAAAGGTGGTATGTTGATCTCTAGCTTTCTCTGTCTCTCCAGCTCTTTTTACTTGTTTGATTTGTTCACAATCCGGGCCAGAAAGAGAAACATTATTTGGAGCCTTCCAAAGAGGTCCAAGGGCCAACACATGGCTTCCCCTGCCCTGCGAGTGCTCACAGCAAAGCCTAGTGGATGACAGCAGGTGCCACAAGGCTAGAAGTCAAAGGTTTTTACATGCATCCTCTTGGCAACTCTGTCAGGACCCATGCCCATACTAACGGTTTGCCTTGCCCCCTAAAGAACAATTCAGTCTTTTTAAAAAGCTGATTTCATAACAAAGGATTAGATTCGACAAAATGAGTCACTCTATATCAGAGAAATGGTATTCACAACTGACTTGATCTAAATCAAAGGATGCAATTCGCCAACAACCAGGAGGGTGTCAGGACCCTGAGTCTGGGCACTGCAGGAGCATTCTGCTACGAACGACTAGCTGGTGCCTAGTTATGTCGGTTCATCCATCAAAGTGACCTTTTTTGGACAGCATAGAATTTGACAAGTCACAAACTTTAATTTATTCTAATTAATAGAAATTAAATGTGGAGTAATTTCCATTTAGCTTCTCACAGACAAGATAAAAAGTAGACACATATAAATCCTAAAATAAAACTTTGGGGCCCTTTTTTAGAATTATATGTCTGCAGAAGAATAAAGTATGAGGCAATAATGTATTTGTGCCATAGTGAAACACTCTCTAAAATACATGTGGACAGGACTCCCATGCCCACTCCGAATGGGAGTTCCGAGCCTTGCAGATGCTAGTTCCAGCCCTGACCTAGTTCAACCTCCTGTGGCAGAGATGAGAAAACGAAGCCCTAAAGCAGGAGGGGCACACCCCCGGGACTGTCAAGTAGGGGAGGTCATGTTTGCAAACTAGTGAGGCTGCCTGATGTGACAGGCACTAGGAAGTACTGGGGACTGGGGCAAAGAGCAAGCCCTGCCTGTAGGGGCAGCCTCTATCCCGTCCACCAAAGGGCTCTGCAGGAATACGGACGTAACACAGCTCAGTCTTCCCATCCTTTAGTTTTTTTTTTGGGTTTTCTTATATTTTTTTTTTTTTTTTAAATACTGTCAACAAATGTGTGGTTTTTTTTGTTTGTTTGGTTGGTTTTTTTTTTTTTTGTTTTTTGAGATAGAGTCTCACTCTTCCACCCAGGCTGGAGTGAAAGTGCCATGATCTTGGCTCACTGCAACCTACGCCCTCCGGGTTCAAGTGATTCTCTTGCCTCAGCCTCCTGAGTGGCTGGGATTATAGGCGTCCACCACTATGCCCAGCTAATTGTTGTATTTTTAGTAGAGACAGGATTTCACCATGTTGGCCAGGCTGGTCTCAAACACCTAACCTCAGGTAATCCACCTGCCTCAGCCTCCCAAAGTGTTGGGATTACCACACCTGGCCACAAATGTGCATTATAAAGGAATGTGAAAATAATGATTACTCACCCCCAACACCTTATTGAACTTCTCAATAAAACAGACTTCAGGGAGATAAGGTGCATGTATCCTATGGTTTCCAACACCTAGAAAAGCAAGTGCCCACGGAGGGAGTGTCCCATGGAGGGAGTTGGGGGGATAAACCTGAAGGGAGGGTACAGAAGTTCCAGTGTGAGAAGCACAGGCCTGCATCAGGCTGGCTGGAGCAGCTGCTGTGCATAATATTGACTCTCCAGCATTACAAAGTGAAATCCCGCTCAAAAGCCTTGACTGTGCTGTCATACTCCCCGTACTCAACTTAGCAAGACAGGCACATTGTATTTTATAAGAACAAATAATCAGAAACGGTGAAAATGTCAGAATTCTTGTGCTGAAGGAATCTCCTCCTTTAGGACAAAGACTCACACAGGGGTTAGAAAGCCTCAGGCAGCCCAGGACAAGACATCTACTGGGCCTCCACTTTAAGTGGCAGAAAAGCAGCGGGGAGAGCCTGGGTAGAGAAGACGAACCCCAGAGGAAGGACCCAGCTCTGAACCGGATGCGGGAAGCTGGATTGCCAGTCACTTCCCCTCCGGGCTTCGGTTTGCCCACCTTCCAGTAGAAAGAGTTCACATTCTGTGTTCTATGCCACAGGCATCTTTAAAAATTACATTCAGTTATGAATCATAGTAAACCCTTGTCCAGGGTTGACTCTGTGCCAAGCAATGGTTGAGATACTATATGAGAATTAACTTACTTATTCTCACAACAGCCCTCTAAGACCTCAGGTTTTGTGATTATCCCTGTCTTAAGGATGGGGAAAGGAGACCCAGGGCGACTGGGCAATGTGTCTACTGGAGGAAAAGAGTGAGGAAATAATCCCCAGCTACCTGCCATCCGTGCCTATATCCCCCAATACTCTCCCCAGGGCTTCTCAATGGAGAAATGCTTTGAGAACTATAAGGCATTATATATGCATTTAAATATTATAATATGAACACATTTCAGCTCTCCACTAATTACAGTCAGCTCTCTGTATCTGTGGGTTCTGCACCCATGGATATAACCACCTGCAGGTCAAAAATTTCTGTGTGTATGAACATATACAGACTTTTTTTTTCTTGTTATTCCCTAAACAACACAGTACTATTTTTTATACAGCACTTATATAAACTACTTATAACTGTATAACATTTATATCACATTAAGTATTACAAGTAATAGAGATGATTTAAAGTATACAGGAGCATTTGTGTACGTTATGTGCAAATTTGACACCATTTTATAACAGAGACTTCAGAATTTGTGGATTTTGGTATCCATGGGGTGGGACGGTGGGGAGGGTCCTGGAACCAATGCTTCCTGGGTATCGAGGGAGGGATGACTGTACTTTACTCAGTATCGTACTAAACTTTTTTTAGTATTGTACTAAACTTTACTCAGGAAAGCTGATACTGCTCCTTTTGCTTTTCTTTTTTTAAAACCAATTCTTGGTGGAATAATACATCCAAAATATTTTTATGTATTTTATTTAAAGATGACTATAACACATGATGGATAATTATAAAGTAGTCTGTGGTTTTGTGAGATGGAATCACTTGCATGGACTGGAAGGAAACTAGTTCTATTAAATTCTGCAGCTCAGATACTATTTCTGGAAACAGACTGGTTCAAATAAGGTGGCTGCTTGTCTTTGAAAAGGGTAACCTAGGAAATCTAGAGTGATGGTGCCCACCCACTGCACGCTGGTGGGCAAGGTGGTGTGGGTGGGAGAGAGGCTGCAGAAAAGTCATGGAGAATACAGGGTCAGGAAGCCCTGAGGAGGAGAGGGACTGTGTGACAGATGGGAGCAGAGCATAGTCCCAGCATCCTGTCCTCATGCTCTCCACATAAAAAAGCATTACCCCAGGCAGTCTTTTGACAGCAAAGGCACTAGAAACATTCTAGATGCCCCATAGGATGGGTTCACATGGGGCACACAGCAGAGGGATGTAACCTCCACTGCAGGAGGGGGCAGTGTGCACAGTGGTTGGGGGCGTGCTGCCGAACATGCGGCTGACTGGCCTCAGGTTGGTGAACCTTCTCCAGCTCAGTTTCCTCACCTCAAAGTGAGATCCTCTCAGTCCCTAGCTCACTGAGTTGTTGTGAACAATAAAGAGACGGTCAATGGGATGTGCTTAGAACACAGCCAGACACACTGTGCATGCTAAGGAAGAATGAGCTGTTATTTTTATACACCATATTTTGTAAGAGTATTTAATAAAATCAGCAAATGTGTATACTGTGATGTAAAGTGAAAACAAGAAACATATACAATTATACAAACTGCATAATCCTTACTTTGTAAAAATAAATGGATAAAGCAAAAGGCTAAAATGTACGCTGGCACCTGAGGGCAGCTGTGAAGGCGGCCTGAGCCATCCCTGTATCTCCAGGGTTGGGTATACAGTAGGAACTCAATAATGGGCCGAATGAATGATCCTCTGCCATTGAGTGGTGGGATGGGCTTCCCCTCCGCTTTTTTTTTTTTTTCCCAGGGCTTTTTCTTTTTCAGCTTTGGATCTGAAATCAGATAGGCTTTCTGTAAGGGGCTATATTTTAGACTTCGCGATCTGAGGTCTCTGTTACGTATTCTTCTTTTTGTTTGTGTGTTTGATTTTTAAAACTCTTTAAAAATGTAAAAAACATACTAAACTCGTGGGCCACACAAAAACAAGCTGGGCAAGATTGGGCTCATGGGTCCTTGTTTGCTGACTGCTGCCTTAAGGTACTGTCCAGGCCTCCCTTGTTAAGCATGTATTATTTTTAAAGGTAAAAAAAATTGGCCATGCATGGTGGCTCATGCCTGTAATTCCAGGACTTTGGGAGGCCGAGGTGGGCGGATCATCTGAGGTCAGGAGTTCGAGACCAGTGTGGCCAATGTGATGAAACCCTGTCTCTGCTAAAAATACCAAAATTAGCTGGACGTGGTGGCGGGCGCCTGTAATGCCAGCTACTCGGGAGGCTGAGGCAAGAGAATCACTTGAGCCCAGGAAGTGGAGGTTGCAGTGAGCCAAGACTGCACCACTGCACTCCAGTCTGGGTGACAGAGTGAGACTCTATCTCAAAAAACAACAACAAAAAAAATGGTAACAGATTCTGGAGGGAATCAAAAGAGAGATAATGGGATCACTTAGGGGCTGAATCACTGAACAGTGCATTCAATACATTCTTCCTCAGGGCCTGGCTCAAGGATGCGTGATGTTGACCAGCACAGTCATAGACAGGGCATCAGAGGCCAGTGTTGGCGAGGGAGGCTGCTGTGGACTGAATGGTGACACCCCCACCCCGCAAAAAAGGTATGTCTAGATCCTAACCTCAGGACCTTATTTGGAATAAGGGTCTTTCCACATGAAATTAATTTAAGATCTTATTAGATCATCCCGGATTATTTAGGTAGGACCTAAATTCAATGACAAATGTCCTTATAAGAGACAGGAGATGAGAGGGTTACCCGGGAAAAGGCTACAGGAAGACAGAGCAAAGATTCAAGTGATGCAGCTACAACCCAGGAACACCTGGAGCCCACCAGAAGCTGAACCAAACATGGAAGGATCCTACTGACAACTAGATTTTGGACTTCTGGCCTCCAGAATTATTATATAACAGAATAAATTTCTGTTGTTTTAAGCCACTAAATTTGTGGTGATTTATTAGGGCAGCCACAGGAAACTAGGACAGGACAGCCAAAGAGTACACAAGCCACGCCCTAAAATGAGATGGTTCTGAAGGCAAGGGAGGCCCCAGGAGCAAGGGAGCAGATGCGGGCAGGACAGTGAGGACCTCGCCCCTTTTCTTTACTGCTCATCCCACATCTGACTACAGATGACCATCTGCGAGTCACGAGCTGTTAACAAGAGAGCTGTAGATGGCCACAGTCTGCGGAAGGGAAGCTGAGTTCAGAAGCTTGTTCTTAAGTAGTTGGAAGGCCTCCCTAGGGGAGTAAATGTTCAGAACAGGATTTGCAGGCTCAGGTCACATGAACTGAATAAGCCATCTCTTTCACAAAGGAAAACAAAAATCAGGTTTGATTTGGTACATTCAGGAAAAACTCTAGTTCTTTCAAGGCAGCAACTGACACAACTTTTGGAAAACAAGAGCTGATTTCTGAGCAATCTGGGCCAGCCCTGGGAAGGCTGAGTGATGAGAACTCCAGCTGAGCACTGTGAGCTGAGAGCCTTCTGCAGCCCATGGGTGCCGGGCAGTTGCTTTTCCTACATTGCTTCTCCCACCCACCCTGAGAGGTGGCTGCCATTAGACTTGTAGTGCCTAATTAAGGCCTTCAGGAGCTGGAATGTACTAGACTGTGAGTCCAGGTTTTTCTGACTCTAGAGCCTGTGCTGGAGAGAACTGTAACCTAACAGGCTATAGTCCAGAGGGGGACACATGCACTCTGACATCACAACCTTCTGTGAACCATGCCCTCTACAGATGTGCTCTGCTATGAATGAAGCCTTTCTTCTCTACCCATGAATTCTACAGCACTGTGAACATACCTCTATTATAACATGACTGAATAAAGTCTCATTTTTTATGTGTACAGATTTTTTTTGTAAGACTATGAACTTCTTGAAAGGAAGAACCATGTCTCACTGTTCCCTATACCTTTACTGCCTAACCCAATGCCTGACAGACAGTAAGTAATCAACACATTTTTGCTAATGAATTCTGGATAGATGGATGGGTAGATGAGTGATAATGGGCAGACAGGTGGATGGGTAGATGGATGGAAGCATGGGTGAATGGGTAAATGGATGAGTGGATGGGTAGATGGCTGGATGGGGAATGAGTGGATGGGTAGATGGATGGTTGGATGGGTGATGGGTGGCATGGATGGGAGGGTGAATAGATAAATGAGTAGGTGGATAAATGAACAGATGGATGTGTAGATGGACAGATGGGTGAAAGAGTGGGTGGATGGATGGACAGGTGCATAGATGAATGGATGAGTGGGTGGATGGATGAGTGGGTGAATGGGTGGATGGGTGGATGGATAGATGATGATGGATGGATGGTGGGAATGGTTGCATGAATGAATGAAAGGGTGAATAGATGAATGGGTGGATGGTTGGATGGGTGACAGGTAGATGGATGGAGGAGGCAAATGGACAGATGAGTGGGTAGATGGATAAATGACAAATCCCTGAGAGAAAGGGAAGTGAACGCCTTCCTTTCAGACCTGTCTTACCCTCTCGCTAGCACGTTTCAGCAGCTCTTCTGCTTCCTCCATTGCCATAATCTCTCTCTGGTACTGGTTTTCCATCTTCTTTCTTGTTTCCAGGTCACACTCAGCTGTCAATGCCACCATCTTCCGATCATACTCCTCTTGTATTTCATTTTCCAGCAACATAAACTGCTTTTTGAAAACATCACTCATTTTTCTCTCTACTTGGGGTGAGAGGTGGCCACTGCTGGTGAGATTTTTCAGTAGGAGGGCAATGATATCCTTGCTGATTTGTGTTCGATAAGCCTCCAGATCTGCACCTGCCCGATTCAGGGTTGCAATCTCCAACCTAGCAAACACAAAAACCAAAAGAATTCCATTACATGAAATTGCAACAGAAACCAACGGTCTTCAAAGCTCTGAGGTTCTAAATTATGTGGAGGCAAGGGCTTTCTTTGTCCTCCTTTTCCTCCTTTCCCCGCTCACTTCTGCTTCATCCAATTATTGAAGGCCATTAGCTGACTCTTAGTAAATTTGTAAGGTACCACAAGATGTACAAAAAGGAACGTATAAGACATGTTTTTGTCCACAAGTAACAAGTCAACAACGACAAGGAAACCAAGGGAAAAATGGATAGCTAATATATTTGGAGGATTTAAAAATAAAGTTTATTTTACTTTTCTTCCCATTAAAAATTAATTTATGGACATGACTACTACATGTAATGTCATATCCTGGATGGAATCCCAGAGCAGAACAAAGGACATTAGATTAAAAACTACGAAAATCTGAATAAAGCATGGATTTTGATAACAACTGATACATGATCACACTGTATCAACATTGGTTTGTTAATTTTAACAAATGTAACATAATAATAGAAAATGTTAATAATAGGGGAACCTGGGTGCAGGATATATGGGAATTATCTGTATTATCTTCTCAATATTTTTGTAAATCTAAAACTGCTAAAAAAATAAAGTCTACTTGAAAATATGTATGAGGCAGTTCACAGAGTCACAGTGTTCTGAAACTTGACTGGTGGTAGTTGCAAAACTGTATATACTTCCAGTAACACATCAGACTGTACTCTTAAAATGTGTGAATTTTATGATATGCTAATCATACCTCTATAAAGCTAAGAAAAGCTACATAGGAAAAAAATTAATTTATGTTCATGGTAAAAATAAGTCTGGAAAATAAAGACAAATAGAAAAAGATTTCATTCACTGTGAATCCATCATTCAATCAGAACTAATGAAGGCATTTTATTATTTCATTATTATTACTTTTTATTTTACTTTAAGTTCTGCGATACATGTGCTGAACATGCAGGTTTGTTATATAGGTTTACATGTGCCATGGTGGTTGCTGCACCTATCAACCCGTCATCAAGGTTTTAAGCCCCTCATACATTAGCTATTTGTCTTAATGCTCTTCCTTCTCTCACCCCTGACAGGTCCTGCTGTGTGATGTTCCCCTCCCTGTGTCCATATGTTCTCACTGTTCAACTCCCACTTATGAGTGAGAACATGCAGTATTTGGTTTTCTGTTCCTGTGTTAGTTTGCTGAGGATGAGCGTTTCCAGCTTCATCCATGCCCCTGCAAAGCATATGAACTCATTATTTTTCATGGCTGCGTAGTATTCCACAGCGTACATATGCCACATCTTCTTTATCCAGTCTACCACTGATGGGCATGTGGGTTGGTTCCAAGTCCTTTCTATTGTAAATAGTGCTGCATGTCTTTATAGTAGAAGGTCATGATTCAATTCAAACTAATGAAGACATTTTGTCATATTTCCTTCCAGTCTTTTTTCTATGCATATTTTTTCATAAATGTCCACTATTTACACAGATGCATGCAGGTACAATTTTATCCTTTTTTCCCCAATTAACATTGCTATTTTCCAATTAACATTGTTATAGGTATCTTCCAGTGGTATTTAAAAACTAAATGCTTCTTTATAAGGGTTGTAAAATATTTTGTCATGTGATACAGCACCATTCAATGACCATTCTTCTATTGTTGCACATTTGGATTACTTGCAAATTTCAAAATCTAAAATAATCCTGAAGCAAATCACTTTTTACAGAGCTCTTGATATTCACAAGAATTTCCTCAGTACGGATTCCCATGAAAGGAACTGCTGGGTCAGATGTCAGCGACATCCATAAGTCTCCTGGCACATCCAGACAAACTGCTTTCCAGAAGACACCCTCAGCCATACATCAGGATCCTCCCACTTAGCCCCACCCTCCACCATGTCAAACATCTTTGATCATCTGAATGGTATACGATTGTAAAAATACAAGGGTTTTAAGAAAACTATTATACAATTTGCAAGGGCTTCAGTATATGACTTCCACATTAACCAGGTTCAAAACTCGTCAATATTGACCAATCTTGTTTTCTCTACTGCCTTTCATGTTTGAGCAATTTAAAGCAAATATCAGATCTGTCATTTTACCTATAAACACCTCACTGTGCTTCTTTAACTGTCAAGGAGTTATACATAGACAGACCGATCAACAGACAGAGAGATGTGTGTATGTCTATGTATCGAGTAACTTGTCTATATGAATATGTACACACATATCTACTTTACCTAACCTTGTTGCTGAAGGGTGGTAAAATACACTACCCCAAAATGTGGTGTTCCGGCATACTGACTATTTTCAGCTAAAGATGCCTCCAAAGACAAACAAACTAGCAAGTACCAGATCACTCTGAGCTTCAGCCTGTGTCTTTTTTTTTGAGACTGAGTCTCACTTTGTTGCCCAGGCTGGAGTGCAGTGGTACAGTCTTGGCTCATTGCAAGCTCTGCCTCCCGGGTTCACGCCATTCTCCTGCCTCAGCCTCCTGAGTAGTTGGGACTATCAATGACTGTCACCACGCCCAGCTAATTTTTTGTATTTTTTAGTAGAGATGGGGTTTCACCGTGTTAGCCAGGATGGTCTCGATCTCCTGACCTCGTGATCCACCCACCTCGACCTCCCAAAGTGCTAGGATTACAGGTGTGAGCCACCGCGCCTGGTCCAACCTGTTTCTTAAAAGTAGAGGGATGAAATTCCCACATGAAGGATGCCATCCCTATATTGGAAGGAAAGCAACGTTCTTATCATAAAGCATGAAAAGTTGAGACCAAGGTAATGCTATAAAAATAGATCTTGGTAAAATAATTCTTACCCGCCTTTAGCCTCACCACATAATTCAGTTGTTTTTTCACAACATGCTATTCTTTGTCCAACTCAGTATATTACTATTCACCTCTAACCACGTCTTTGGGTCTTCATTTCCTTATGTGGGCTCCGGTGTCATGTCAAACTTATATTAAATTTGCATGTTGTTTTCCTGTTAATCTATCTCTTGTCAATTTAATTCTCAGGCCCAGCTGGGACCCCTAAGAGGGCAGAGGTAGAGTGTGACTCCCTACACTGTCATTATTATATATAAAATATTTAAAACAGGCCGGGTGCAGTGGCTTACACCTATAATCCCAGCACTTTGGGAGGCCAAGGGGAGTGGATCAATTGAGGCCAGGAGTTCAAGACCAGCCTGGCCAATATGGTGAAACCACGTCTCCACTGAAACTACAAAAATTAGCCAGGTGTGGTGGCAAGCGCCTGTAAAGTCCAGCTACTCGGGTGGCTGAGGCGGGGGTTGCAGTGGGCCAAGATTGGGCCATGGCACTCCAGCCTGGGTAACAGGGGCGAGACTGTCTCAAAATAAAAAAAAAAAATTAAAACAATCCCAGTAAGTAGAAATGTCTAGTTATCTGTCATTATTCAGACTACCTCAAGTGTCTCAAAATGTCTTTTTACAATTTAACATTTAATTCAAGAACCAAACAAAATCCCATAATGCCAGTTAAGTTTCCTTTATTCTAGAACATTCTGGCCTGCCATCTTTCCTTCTACAGCATTGATGTATTAGGGAAGTCAGGCCACCATCCTGCAGAATGTCCCATGTTCTGGATTTGACCAGTTGCTTCCATGGGAGTCACCGTACCTCTCTCTATTCCCTGTATTTCCTGTAAACTAACAGTTAGATTGAAGATCTTCATTCAGTTGGTTTTACTTCTTTTTCTGAGTGATCTTTAAAAATTGAGACAAAATATACATATATAATTTACCATCTTTTCTTTTCTTTTCTTTTTTTTTTTTTTTTTTTTAAGACAGAGTTTCACTCTGTTGCCAGGCGAGAGCGCCATGGTGCAATCTCGGCTTGCTGCAACCTCCACCTCTCAGGTTCAAGCGATTCTCCTGCCTCAGCCTCCCAAGTAGCTGGGACTACAGGCGCCCGCCACCATGCCCAGCTCATTTTTGCATTTTTAGTAGAGACAGGGTTTCACCATGTTGGCCAGGTGGTCTCAATCTCTTAACCTCGTGATTTGCCCACCTCGGCCTCCCAAAGTACTGGGATTACAGGTGTGAGCCGCCACGTCTGGCCACCGTCTTTTCCTTAAGTGTGCAGTTCAGTGGTAATAAATATATTTTATTTATATTCTTGCTTTCCTTCGTCTAAACCTACCCCTTCCCATGCCTGGGCTCCAGTAACCACTATCCTATTCTATACCTTCACAAGGTCCACTTTTTTAGCTCTCACATGAGTGAGAACATGCGATATCTGTCTTTCTGTGACAGGCTGATTTCACCTGACACAATGACCTCTAGGTCCATCCATGTTGCTTCAAATAACAGGAATTTGTTCTTTTTTATGGTTGAAAAACATTCCATTGTGTATTTATACCATATTTTCTTTATTCATTAGGGCACTTAGGCTGGTTTCACATTTTGGTTACTGTAAATAGTGCTGTGATAAACATGAGAATGCAGATATCTCTTTGACACATTGATTTCCTTTCTTTTGGACATATATCTAGTAGTGGAATGGCTGGACTATATGTTGGTTCCGTTTTTCGTTTTCCAGCATCCCCCACAGTGGTAGTATATTTATACTGTGTGCTTCCTTTATATCCATATTACAGGGTAAGGTTAGGGTGAACCCATAGGTTCAAGCAGTGCCAGCATGATCCCTGCATTCTAATATTTCTCATCAACCATGCGTCTAATGATTTTAACATCCACTTATTTTTTTTTTTCTTAACTTTTAAGTTCAGGGGTATATATGCAGGTTTTTCATACAGGTAAACTTGTGTCATGGGGGTTTGTTGTACAGATTATTTTGTCACACAGGTATTAAGCCTAATACTCATTAGTTATGTTTCCCGATCCTCTCCTTCCTCCCACTCTCCACCCTCTGATAGGCCCTAATGTCTGTTGTTTCGCTCCATGTGTACATGTGTTCTCATCATTTAGCTCCCACTTATAAGTGAGAATATGTGGT